ATAAAAAAAAAAGAATAAATAAAATAATTTGTTACAAAAATGGACTATTTAACATTAACTGACTTTATAAATTAAATTTTCCGTATAATTTTATGTTGCAAGTATTTTACGTATTTTTTTTATATTGTACATATCCTAGTATATGCAGAGATACCCTAGATTACAGATACTATAGATAACGGCAGTCTAAACACAGATAACACAGATAGAGATATTCTAGGGACAGCTGCCCTACAATCAGTCACCCTATATACAAATACTACCACGATTACAGTCTCTGCAAATTGTAAATGCACAATCGAGAAAATTACTTAATGCTTGCGCAATTTATAAATGTTGTAATCATCATGAGTTAACAAAACATAATTTTCGTACAGCTGTCTATTAAATCAACATCCATCAAATTCTTTCAAATTTTTTATGCAACAACTAAATTTCCAAATATTTACAGAGCCAACCATAAATATGCTTTGAACTTGCATAGAAAATGAGACTATTTTGATATATTGGGGTGTATCTACATACATATGTATGTRTGTACATACACATGTATGAGTTCGGGTGTGCAAAGTTTTTTTTAGCTGGAAATCATTTATATAGTAGGAAACGCTGTGTATATATGCTTGGGGTTGTCAGATTTCGACATGCCTTATGCCTTATGCCTTCTGGCTTCTAGCTTCTGCCTTATCGCATGCCTAAAATTGGAAAAACGCACATTTAATTAAAAATTTTGTTCATTCTTGGTGGGCCGTTTGGCCAAATGGCAACCAATGGGTTGGGGCCCGGCCCCACAGCGTGTGTAACCGCGGAAACCAGAGAACTGGATGAAAGCAGAGATCGTCTGAGTAGAGAGAGGGGTAGAGCGAGGAGGGGAAAAGTGGGCGTTCGTTGTCTTCGCATCCATTGCCAGGCACTGGCTGCGTGTCTGGCATTAGCAAATATCTGACATCAAAACTGGCAGCAAATATTTGCTCTTCTACAAGCAGAGTAAATGACTAAATAATAATGCCAAGCGCTCGCACTTTACCGTTATCAATGTTTTATGAAACTCAACTTTCAACTAGATAAGCGTTCGACGATAAGATATGCTGCTTCGCATTTCATTTAGCGGCTTAGCTTTGGTATATTCAGGTAAAACCCACGTGCTGTACACACACACACACACACACACACACACACACACTCACACTCACTCACATTCACGCTGCTATAAATTAATCAGAATTATATATACGCATTGCTCATTGCTATTAATATGGCAACCGCAATGCTGGTAATTCATAATTTTAACGCACACGTAAAGCCCATTGACAACGCCTCGAGCTGAGCAACATCTGAAATACCTGTGTAAATTAATCAATGTAAAATATTTTACTTATATTTTATGACCATAAACAGTTAGCGAAACTTTCCCCAAAAGTATTCAGATGTCATAGGCTAATCGTTAATAAATTCTAATGCAATTAGCTTTAGGTTTGTTAAATTTACTAAAAAAATAACAAGTCTAACATTTCCCTTAATAAAATCAATTTCTATTAGCTTTAAGCTCAAGCCAATATCTAGTTAAGTTTAGTTAAAGTTTTTCCTATATCGAATTTTTTTTTTAGAATTTATTACTTAACAAATCACACTTTATATGCCCTATAAATCCATCTATTTAAGGGGCGTTACACGCACGACGTTCTCTAGGGTTTAAGTGTTAATTAAATACATCCAATTCATATCTTTGGTACATATCGTTCGACATGCCAATGCCGTAGAGACTTACCGCCATAAAATTGTCCAATTAGCAGACAAATGAGTAACATCCACGTCGTAGCTCCTCTCATTGTTATCACTTTCAGCTTTTTTTGTGTTTTACTTTTGTTTTTCTGTTCTCTGTTTTACTGTTTTGGCAGCTCACGCACTATTAAAATTTGTATTTGCTTTCGAGTTTGGTGCGCTATCGGAGGTAGATTGTTAACTGCAATTAATATGTTTGTTGGAAGTCGATTTAATTAATTTGCCACTAAATTGCTACAACAATCAATTGTCGGCCCAATCGGGCGCCGCAAAGCCAACGAAATTCTTCTATTTGTTTTCGTATGCGTATCGCGTCGTGTTCACCGGAAACTCAAAAATTGGCCAAAGCCAAAATCAAAGAAAAACGCGCGCGCGCGCGCAAATATTGCAGTCGAAATCGGACGAGAAAAAAGAAAAATACCAGAATGAAGAATGAAAAAATAAAACGATAACAAAAACAAAAACCTTAACCTATAGTCCGAGTTGCTTAAGCTGGAATTCGCAGCTGTGCGCTAGAAATCGCAGCTTCCAGTGGAAGCTGATTGACAGCTGAACGGTAAACATGGCTTTTAATATTCGCCTTGACGATTATGCAAGCGCTGCAGAGCGGCGCAGCGGCGAGATATTATGATCTCAGTGCGAAAATTAGAATTCGCTCTGCTCACTAATTCGCCGCAGCGCCTGACTGCCTGTGTGCCTCTCTCGCGCTCTTAATCCCTCTCTCCGTCTCTCCTGTGGCACGCTCAATGCCAAACCGCTGCAAAAGTGGGTCGTGTCGGGTCGATGTGGTGTTTGGGCTGGGCGTGGCAGGGGGGTATGCCAAGTTGAAAAGCATGCAAATATGTATGCATATAAATAAATTAATGTGCAAATGCGAAAAGCTCAAAAACGAAAAATAACAAGGAAAAAACCCGATTGTGAGCATAACGAAGCCTCGACACCCTTTCCAACAGCAGAAACACTTCAAAATAAACAAAGCTAATTGACAAATAATTGCAATATTAGTCATAATATTTGATACTAATCAATCTGAGTAATTATTTATTTTGTGCAGCATTATAATTTCCTGATTGTATCTCATCTGCACTGACAATGCCAATGGATTCTCTCTGTTAGCGTATGCTGATGCAAACATCCAAATAAACAGTTGAATATACAGACACAAACACACACATATATATGCAGCAGCATGTTTGCATATGGTATACGTATATATAAATATAGATATACTATATATGTATGTATTTGCAACACTTCGCAATCAGCTTTTAGTTTGTTGCATTTGCTAAAAGCAGCTAACGAATACCAAATATTCATTTTTCTATTCACATATTTACCCTTCGCATAGGCGAACAATTGGCGGATGAGTATTATCTATCGACTAACACCATACGAACGTTAGCTTCGAGTTCCTATGAGTGCTATTTGCTTAAGTGCTTTTTTCTTATATTCAGGGAAAAATTTGAAAGTATTGAGAGGCTTACTATTTGGAATCTTAACAAAACTAAAATGGTTTCAACCATGGAAAATTCATTTCGAGCGCTTGCCCTGCCCATCATGTGATACACAATCTGCAGTTAGAAAGTACGGTTATCAAGAATGACTCTTTTCATTTATTTTTATCAATGGTGAACGTGCAGTCAGTCTTCAGGCAGTTGGACTTTCGATTCTTGCGAGGGTCGATAAGTGCATATGACATTTTAAATGTAACCGAATGGAAAAACTCAAGGAAAATCAATATACTTTTAAGCCCTTTTTGATATGCTACTGAATAATGTTTTAGATCTTGAACCAGGCATCATAAATTGTATGATAAATCAAAATTGTGTTTTTAATTTGAAGCAACTTTTAGTTTAATTTATATTTTAATTATGGCAAGCTAAAATTTTGTCTTAAAAATAAACAAGTCTTGAATTGAAGGCACGTAAGACAAATGGGAAAAACTTTGGCATTCGCAAAGCTTTGGCACTCAGAATGTCTAACTCAAGTACTCGCAGAGCAGCTCTCGCTCCCTCGCTCCTTCACTCACTTACTCAATCACTCATTCACTCACATGCTCTCTCTCTCTCTCTCTCTCTCTGTCGTACTTCTGCGTCTTAAGGCGAGGCCTTACCAATCTTGCTTGCTTGTCTTGTTTTTGGTCTTTTTGGCGTTTGTTTATTTACATTGCGCTCCAAGTTTACACACACACACACACACACAGCAGCAGCATAGATGCACTTGTATGCGTGTGTGCGTCTGTGTACGTTTGTGTAGCAGCTGCAGCTGTGCTCCGTTTGCTATTACAACGATTTTTTGGAATGGGAATCAAAACTGAAAACGGGAAACTGAAAACAGAAATGCGCGCCTTGCAAATGGAATTGAAAACTTTTCGTACTGTAAATAAAAGCAATCGATGTTTTCTGTTCGCTTTTTGTACTCCTTTACTCCATCTCCATCTCTTTCCCCCATCTGTGGCAGCTGCTCCTGGTGCCCTACAGCAGCCGCCATTCCCCTTTCCATTCGCCCATATTCCAATTTCCATTTCCTTTCTCGAACAACTTTCGGTGCCGTCATTTCGCTTTCGTTTGCCTCTCGCCGCATTCGGCTGGGTTTGCCGGCAAACAGCGGCGACAGACGACATCGGCTGCAGCGGCTGCAGCGACTGCATCGAGTATTTTTTACATTTTTCACATATTTATAGAATGCGCGGCCAATGCATTTGCATTCGCATTTGTATTTGCATATTGCACAAGCCTGAGCTCGACGTGTTGTTGATTTTGTTTTCGCCATTGTTGTGGTTGTTTTTGTGTTGATAATTGCGAGTGCCAAAATGCATTGGGGACCACAATTCGAATGCGCTTTGGCAATGCCGCAATTGCTTTAAGGCTTTCAGTGGCAACATTTTTTGTCATTATGAATCACAGCGTCCATGGAGTAGCTCTTTGACTTTGGGGCAGCTGCAACCAGGGCCAGGTAAAGAATGGATAAAGTGAAGTGCCTGTGCCTATGCCTGTGCCATTTACAGCAAGAGAAACAGGTTTTGCGTTCGCCTGCGACTGGTCGTTGAGATGCGAGCAACGCGAGCAGTGGCAAGAGAGTGAGAGAATTGGAGAGATGAAGAAGGCGCAACAAACACAAACACAAACACAAACAACGACAACAACAACAAATATTCGGCTAAAGCGTTACAAAAGGCAACCAACTGGCAGCGACGACATATTGTACGAGCAATTTTGATTTACGACCAGGTAATGCCCGTGCACAGATGCTCTTCCAGTTGGTAGCACTTGCACTTGCAACGCTTTCGCTCAACTTCGTGACGAACTCGTGCCCCTTTTTGTCTTCGTTTGATTTGGTTTAATTTGTTTCAGATATCTGGCGTAAAAAAGCTCTGGCCCTGGCCCACGTTAAATACGACTATAAACACACACACCACACATACATGTATATGAGTGTGTGTGTGTGTACGCGCACAAAACAAATTGAAGTTTTCAAGTACTTAATGGTAGTATTGATAGGAGTAAATAGTATTTTCAGCTGTGCGCTACGCGCTCTTTGCGTACCCGTCGCGATGCTTTTCGAGCGAGAACTGACAGACATTTACTTTTCAGCGCGTGCTTGGATGCCGTTTTGGGAGCCACAAGCAAGCTGGTACAAGTGGAATGGAACGGCTCTCTCATAACACTCTGCCTGATTGGGGCTGCTTGTGGCTGCTGTTGTTGTCGCTGCCGCTGGGGCAGGTAAACAAAAATTTTATCTTTTCCGCGTTCCTCGTATGGCGCCAAATATATCTGAGCGAGAGAGATAATCGAACTGAGTGAGCGTGGGTCCAGAGAAGATGCTGACAATGTCAGTGTCAACTGTTGTTGGTTTTGCACTGATTGGAACCCTACACTCAATAAATACCCTCTAGCTGAGCATGAGGGAATATTCACAGCATTACACATATGCAACACTTTGGAGCTCATGGCGGATACTTTGTTTATTAATAATACTTGAGAGTTCAGGCCTAAACAAATAAATTAAATTAGTATATATGACTAGGTATTTGTTTTCGTGTACGTTCCTATCTTATTTTTGTTTATAAAAATTATGGCTACAATATGAGCTGGCATCACTTTTTAATTTTGCCTTATCACATTGTTATAAATGCAGTCATAACGCAAGATTTAGTCATCACTCTTTGTGACTAAATAAAATGTAGTATACGTTTTTATTCATCAGATGACTTCACTGCAAATTTAAAGTGAAATTATTCGATTGATTAATAATTTACTTATTGGGACACTTTTTTATCACTACATAAAAAGATATTTTTAAATACGTTAAATAAGTTTTAAAGGAATAAATAAAATGGTAATAAAAATTGTTAATATGTAATTGATAATATTGATAATATGGATACATTACAAAAATCAAAAGCTCGTTATTCGAAGGCCGTTATTGGCCATATTTAAATAAACGATACTTTTCTTTGCCCATTGCAATCTTCAGTATATCGATATATTGAGAATTGGCAAAAATTTGCAACACTGTCAATTTTGCAACATTTTCAGCACTGAACTAACACTGCGCGATTCTTTGTTTACATCTTGAATCATGGAAGTGCCTTTAAGCGAGTTCAGCTCGCTGGATCTGGAACGTGAATTGTACGCTCGAGCAAAAAATACGGATGGATTGAAGCAGGAGCGCTTTGGCCGCCTGTTGGCTGCCCGGCAGCAAGACAGCCAGTCGTCGATCCGACAAAGAAGATCGTCCATTGCAAAGTTTGGAGCTCGCGTGCAAATGGACGACTTTGCAGAAATAAAAATGTTCGATCCGACAGAGTTTGAGTTCTTGTCCAATAAAGTTCGATGGCGACTCGATCGTGTACGACGAACAGAGGATGGCGAAGGACTGGAATACTTCCATCCAGATGTACTCAGTCGCATCGACCGCAACAAGACGTACATGCTGAATATGGATGAGTTTCTGGTGCGACAAGAGCCATACATTCATAAGGTGAGCTCAATGAGCTAATGTCGATTGCAAATATATAAAAGACTCTATTTTGTACAGATCTTTGTTATTTTCATATCTCGGACTTGTGGGCAGGAGCATAAGCTGTGCTATGCAAGAAGTCTGGCCAAACTGCGCAGCTGGGATGAACAGACGGAGGAGTTTGAATGGCCCGTGAGCTAAACATAAACTGCTCAAGCATACTTTATTTAATTGTACTTTATTTAATCGTAATTAGCTCATCACGACTGAGAACATAACCAGCTTGAGTGCGGATAATGCTGAGCTGCAGACGACAGTAAGTTCACGTTTGTTTAATTAATTACCTTAACAACATATTCTTCTTCAGCTCATTACAACAGAGAACATTGCCAAAGCGCTGAGCTACGTATTGGGAACAGTTAAGGACAATAATCTAGAAAACATTGTAGCCATTGCCTGTGATACGAATCGGCTCGGTGTGCCAGCCATAACGATGCTGCTGGAGGCCAGTGGCCATGTGATGCCACCGACGCTCTACGACATTTATGATCTGCAGAGCACCTTGCAGAACATGTTCTGCTCCGCCTGTGTGCGGATCCTGATGCGTGTGGAGCACGAGATATACACGAAGACCACGTACGGGGATCAGCTGTGCAGGCTGTGCTCTGGCAATAGAACCAAGAATATGAATGCCGTTCTGCTGCTGATGGAGTATGTGAATAAGTTGCCCCAGATCCTAAATACAATGTGGAGCTTCGAGGAGCATCTGGACAAGCCGATTTCCCTAATTGGCCTGAACAACAGATTGTTGAAGATTTACGGCTCGCACATCAAACGAGAGCTGCCGCCTATAACATTCGAAGACTGTGCCGCGGGCTCGGGACTTTTGCAATTGATCGTCTTTGATGCCCTGTGGTGCATCTCAACCGAAGCTGAACCTGAAGAGATAAATCTGGAAATCATAGTCTATCCGCCACACAGCCAGGAATGAGCTGTTTAAGAATAAGTTAGATATATTTATTATTTATTTTATTGGAACCATGGAATTCTGTACAGTTATATTTTGATATACTTAATTTATGTGTAGAGCATAGCGAGACAAATCTGTATAAATATCGTTAGATATAGCAGTTCACTGCAGCCAGAACCTGCGGCCGCATTATGCACCATGCTGGCTGTAAAGACCTGTGATCTCTGCGTAATCTCGTTCTCAAAGCTCTCCTCGGTTGCATCGTACTGCAGCTCCGATTCCGTTGAATAGTTGGGCAGCTCAACTTAAATTAGAATAAGAATTATATTAGAATATACATATATAATACTATAGTGATAAGGCAGTAACTACCTTCGCCGCCCGTTGCAAATCGCACCGTCTTGCTGTTGTCGCTCCAGCCAAAGCTATTCCGCGCCAGCACTGAGACCTCGTACAGACTGGCCGGCTGCAGCCCATGCAAGGTGTACGAGGTTATGTAAATGGGACCTATATGGAGACTATGCCAATAAAATGATGACTAGATATATCAGATTAGGCTTACCAATGGTCATTTGTGCTGGAATCGTCAGTTCGGTCCAGTTTGTGCGAATGGGCCTTGTTACATTTGCTGTTGGAAGGAAACGAAGGCTATAAATAGACTGAAAGAACTAATGGGAATTTCACTTACCCGATGGAATCTGTCGAAACTTGAGCTTGAATTCCATAATGGGCAACAAGCTCTCCGTCTGCCAGACCAGCACATGCGACGTGGAGCTCTGCGTGCCGGGATTGATTTTGAAGACGCAGGGCATGGGTCGTCCGGTCAGCTCGACCGTGGTGCTCTTGAAGCCAATCGAGTTGGTTGCACGGCACTCGTACTGGCCCATGTCGGCGTCGCGCACCTTCTTGATGATTAGCACGTGCTTGACCAGACTCACGTAGTTGTCCAGGGCATGGCTGCTGGATGACAGCTCCGTCTCGTGGCTGCTGATGTGGGAGCCAGTTTGAATGGGCACGCCGTAGTGGAACCACTGCAGCTTTGCCACAGGCGCCGCCTCCACAATGCACTCCAGCTGTGCCCGATCGCCGACCTTGGTATAGACCACAGGCTGTGGCAGCGTCAGCTCCGGAGCAACTGGAAGTAGATGAATGGCTCTTACTAATGCTTCTCTCTCTCTCGTGTTTCGCCTTATGGCAACACCTACACAAGACCCGCAGCTGCACGCCCGCCACCGCCGGCTGACCCACTCCGTTGGCGGCCAGGCACTCGATCAGCCCCGACATCGCCCTCGACTTGATCTCAAAGATGTGACTCTGCCGGTTGCCCGTGTTGCTGTACTGGTCCAGGGTGTTGCCATTCAGCCGCCAGCTGATCGCCGGCTGCGGCACACCGTTGGCCAAGCACACCACCTCAAAGGTGGTGCCAATGGGCAGCTCCAGCACTCCGCTTGGCTCCATGGCAACGCTGGGCTCGTACTGCACCTCGATCGCATGCGCCTGGACGGCATGATTGCTGTTCGACATGATCTCGCAGTAGTAGTTGCCCGTGTCCTCCGACTTCAAGTTTGACACCTGCAAACTGCCATTGGACCAGAGCACAATCCGTTCCGGTGGCGGAATCTCCGGGTGACGTGAGTCAACCAACGGCACATCGTCCCTGTGCCAGCGCACATAGTGAAAGGGCGCTATAGGAGAAAGTGTTTCGTATTAATATAATTAAATGTATATTCTCAAAATACAATATAAATAACATATTTTTTTTCTTTTCTCTCTCTTTCTGGAGTAAGAGTATTTTTGTTCCATATGTATTTCGGCTTATGCATTCGCACTCTTCTAAGGTATATTTGTAACCTAAACTGACCTGGGTTATGTCAGCCTCAACATTAGATTCGGCATATTAAAAACCTTGGGAAAATCTTGTTCTTGTTTGGTAATTTCAATTCATCTGATCCATCATGATATACCTTATATGATAATATTTTATATTATATCATATTATTTTATATTCTATTATTGTCTTTTCAGATTTAAATGCGCCTTGGTTGTATTGAAAATATTGTAATTCATTTATATTTTCATTTATCAAATGAGCGCTACATTTAATATTATATCATTTTCATTTACTAAACATAAATAGGTCATTTTGTTCTTAGATGCCTGCAGATCATATTCTGAACGCAATCAGTCTTCATGAAACCCAATTTCAGTTCGTTAAAACTTCTAAGCTTATCGGATCAGTACCGCCATTTTCATTTATTTATAAAAATTACTTTTAAATGTCTTTAGTTATTAAATATAAATATAAACATATAGCCTCCTATATATATTTTTTTTTTCTGCAATCATTTCTAAACTGACATTTTCTATATGAAACCATCCGAGGAATTTGTAAACAACTTTTCAAGAACATCTGAAGTAAATTGCAAAATTAATCAAATCCCGTTTTGTTTGTCTATTATAGAAAAAAGAGATGTAGAAAATGCATTGTGATGAACGAATTTCCTTTGCCGTCTTTTGTGAATTCATTCACAATGCTTAAGAAACTCAATTTAGACAGCGACAAATTAAATGTTATTGTTGTCGCCAATTGCCTGCACAAAGGAGCACTTTCAAGGCCCATTATATTGGCTAACTAATACGTATAATTATGCTATATATATATTTCTGATTGATTATTATTATTATTTTTATTAAATTGGCTTACTATCCAAATAGCAGGGCAATAGCACAGTTTCGTTCTCGTAGCTTTTGATGGTAGTTGGAACACTTTTAAATTTCTGATTATTCTCAAGATCATTGTTGAAGTTGAGCTCGCACTGGCCGCGGAGGGGCAGCAGCAGCAGCATCAACATCATCGTCATCATCTTGATGGGAACACACATGTTGCACACACTGAGCTGAGATTTGTAATTGAGTTAGACGTAGCGATTTCAAATCTCTCAACGGTTAATCGAAGCGAATTCCACTTGGGCGCGTGTCACGAGATTTACTGTTCCGATGCGTTGGAAATCCCGAGCTCAACTGAACGCTTGAGCAACCGATGGGAGTCTGACGAACACTTGCGCCTGGCTTTAGCAATGACGACAGAGGCTGAGGCAGCGGCAGCGACAGAGGCAGCGACAGAGGCAGCGACAGTGACAGTGACAGAGGCGACGATGAAGACAGCTCAGAAAGTCACTTGCTCTTTCTTTTTGGGATGCCGGCTGATTAGCTGTCTTCCAATGTTCAGCAACGCATTGTGTGCCAGTTTGGAGCTCGTTTAACAGTACATAAATATACATATAAAGTAGCATATACATATAGCGTGTGTATATATATGTACATACATATATAGCATATAAAATATCTATAGAATGCAACGGAGCGTTCTGCACGCCCTCGCCAAAGCATGTCCATTTGCATGTGCCATGCATCGCTAGTTTGTTCAGCATTCTGAATCGGATTTTGATTCTGTTTCAGATGCTGCTGCTGATCTATTACGTTTGCCGCTTGAAAGAACGTGCTCCTGTTGCATATTATGAGATAAAATGTCATTGTGCCGCGATATACATACATATATACATACATACATACATATGCATAGATGTAGTCGCCGCCGGCCACATCCACATTGTCATCGGATCAGACACACACATTCATACTCTCATTCACATTCACAGTTCGGCACTTAAGCCCCCTCGAGAAGCTCCCCCTCGTTAGAACTGTGAACCAAATGCAAAGATTTCAATTATAATAACAAACTTTTACCGGAAGTGCAGCCATAAAAATACATTCATTTACGAACGTATCTATAGCACGGTTGCATCATAGTAAATAAATCTCTGAAACGCCAAGCAACCCCATTAGATCTTCAGAAGATTGTGTTATCTCAGTTAAACAGAACTTTTAATGTATATAGAACTTTTAATTTAAATACTTATCTATGATTATGTTTATGTTTTTAAGATTTTAGGATGACTAAATAAAGCACATTTAAAAAGAAACTGAAAGTTAATAACTATGTATATATGTATATTATATATATATATAGTTT